AACAATACGGGTACGGCACATGGACTCATGCTTTTCCTTACATAACCCTTACTCATCAATTCCTCCACTTGCCTTTGAAGCTCCTTTGTCTCCTCCAGATTACTTCGATAAGTTGGTCGATTTGGAACGACAGCTCCAGGTATGAAATCAATTTGATATTTGATCCTCCTAATGGGTGGCAATCCACTAGGCACGTCTTTCGGAAACACATCGTCAAATTCCTGCAATAAAGAAGTAGCCAAACTAGGGAGGGATGTGTTAGACTCCTCAAAATTGAGGAGTGATTCCTTATATACTAAGAGAATCATTGGTTGTCTCTCCATTATCGCCTTTTTCAGTTCACTCCCTTTTGCAAAGAAATTCACTTTCGGCTTTTCTCTCTTTTCGGAAGACTCTCTTTCTTTTCTCTCATGTGGCCCCACTCTCATTTTTTTCCCTCACCAGCCACCTCACTATTTTCTCTCCTTTTCTCTAACTCTCTCACTCTCTTTTCTTCCTCATTTTTCAATTTGATTTGGTCATCATACACTTGTGTCGGTGTTAATGGTACAAGAGTGATAGACTTTCCCTCTTTCACAAAACTATATTTATTTTTATACCCATCATGCATTGTTTTCCTATCATATTACCAAAGTCGCCCCAACAAAATATGCTCCGCATGCATAGGTATAACATCACATAACACCTCATCATGATACTTCCCAATAGAAAAATTAATCAACAACTTTTTTGTCACCTTAACCTCTCCACATTCATTTAACCATTGCAATCTATAGGGTCTAGGATGTTTTAATAATGTTAATCCCAATTTTTCCACTACATTAGTGCTAGCTACGTTTGTACAACTTCCACCATTAATTATTACACTACATACCTTCCTGTTGACGTGACACCGTGTGTGGAATATATTTTCCCACCGCTGCTCCAAGTCATCCGCCTTGATTTGAGCGCTAAGTGCTCACCTCGTGACCAACAACTCCCCAACTGCATACTCTGTGGTGTTTTCCTCGTCAATGTCCTCCAACTCCGGCATGTCTTCATAATCACCTTCACTCTCGGTCTCCACTTTCCCGCTGTCTCACAAAATCATAGTTCTTTTATTTGGACATTGTGAAGCAATTTGTCCAACTCCCAAGTAACGAAAACACTTGACGTCCTGATTCCTTGATGGCTGGGATTCTACCTTTGGTGTAGTCTTGCTAGCTCCTTCCTCCTTTTCTCTCGGTACCTCTGGTCTTGCTCTTGCATTAGCTCCATCTCCTTTATTATTTTCCCACCTCGACTTCCAAGAAGGATTAGAAATCGAAGATCCACCTTGATACCTTGATGTCCCCTTTCACTTCAATTGCTTTTCCACCTTCATGGCCACATGTAGCATGTCTTCAATCTCCACATAATGTTGCAATTCTACTACATTGGCAATGTCCCTGTTCAAACCCCGCAAAAATCGAGCCATAGTGGCTTCCCTATCCTCTTCCACGTTCGCCCTAATCATAAGCATCTCCATCTCCTCATGGTAATCCTCTACGCTTCTAGTGCTTTGATATAGATTTTGTAACCATTGATGAAGTTCCCGGTAATAGTGATTAGGTACAAACCGTTTCCGCATTAACATCTTCAACTCCTCCCAAGTATTTATAGGTTGTGCCCCAATCCTCCGCCTCGTAGTCACCACTTGATCCCACCAAGTTATTGCATAGTCCGAGAACTCAAGAACCGCAATTTTCACCTTTTTCTCCCTCGAGTAATTGCGACAATCGAATATCAACTCAATCTTATTCTCTCACTCTAAGTATGCCTCCGGATCACTCCTCCCTTTGAAAGAAGGAATTGTCATTTTAATATTTCCCAAATTACCATCCAACTCGTCTCCACCAAGATTCCTACCTCTCACACCTTGCCTAACGCCTCTATTCCTAACCCTTCCAACCTCCGCATCCACAAGTGCATCCTCATCGAATCCACTATCAGCCTCAAAGTCATCCTGATCATCTATCCTAACTCTTCCATTCTGCCATGCATTATTGGCTCCCCGTCGAGGATTAGCAGACATTGGATTAAGCTTGTCTAACCACACATCCTGTCGATCCAACCGATCCCTCACGTCCCCTATCATCCTTTCCATCCGTAGTATCGATTCCGCCATCATGTTAAGTTGATCATTGTCCCTGCCAGAATGTGTTCCTTCCATGTCAGATATCCTATAATATAACTTTTTTCTGCCTCACCAAGTTCACTTAGAATTCACTCAATTTGGCTTTTACCATCAATTGATCTTACCATTCTGCCTTTTACTGCTCGTTGCTTTCACTACGTGCTTTAAAAAACAAATTGGAACTCAACCAAGGAATTAGTCTCGTGAAACCCAAACCGAATGTGAGTGAGATTACAAAACAAAGAAGGGCTCGAATTTGGAAGTTTTGAAATTCAAGAAAGTGGTTCTTGAATTGATTTGGACTAAGAAAGACAATTTAAGAAAATAAGGGACTAATTTGCAAATAAAAAAAATTTGAACAGTAGATGTGAACAATTTTTTTTTTACTTTTTTTTTCTTTTTCTGCTACTGTACGATGAACAGTACGATTTTTTTGATCCGGACTTTAACTACGACACCAACGAAAGAAACGGAAGTTGCTTTGGATTCTAAATGAGCCAAAAACAACTTTTGAAGTTTTAGATGAGAAGAATTCGGATCAAAGACTCAATAATTTTACTAGACAGAAGAACGCGAAGAACGAAGAAAAACTAGAAACAAAGATTCAACAAGAATTTAAAAGGGATATAACCTTGAATTGGAGTCTAAGCTCTGATACCAACTGATGCGAACCCGCGTAGCGCGATCACTACCAAACCCACAACAAATTGAGAATCAGACCCAAGAAAGCCAAAGACAAGGTTTTGGATTAAACCCAATAAACTGGAACCAAGCAACTCGAATCGCCGACAATATGCGGACCTCTTGATTACGCAATTTAAATGAATCTCACTTGGTTGATTTGAACGCCACAAGATTAATCTTGATAAGTTCACAAGTTGTTTAACGAAGAACGAGAGAAAGCAATTAATGCCTCACGAACAATATTCAATAATATGAGAGTTGTAATGTTTTACAATAAGGAATAAAATACTTATATTATTCTAGAGAATCCTGAGTAAACTAGGAAAAATATCTAAGAATAATACAAAATTTGTCCACAATAGCTTAATTATGGTAAAAATATACTAATAATGAAAATATATTAAATTAAGGAAAAAAACGTGAAATTTGGAAAAATTCGTCTCGGACTTAGCCTATGCGGCCACATAGCTTTAGAGCATGCGGTCGCATAGTGCAATTGGTCTGTGACTTTGGGACTTCTGTTGGGTGTATGCGACCGCAGGATTTTAGACCTTTGCGGTCACATGGTTTAATGCTACATCTCCGTTTTTCTTCAACTTTAAACACGTTGATCCAATACTCTTCGGCCTTCGTCCCCAATTCGAAACTTGCTCCATTTTGCATCCCGAACATTGTTTCATCAAATGTTGCTTTGACGAGCAATCCCATCGCATCTCTTACGCGCTTGGCCCTCGATTGCGTCATCGACCCCTCGACTATCAACGGATCTTTCCTCGGGCTCGACTCTGGACTTGACTTTGGTACTTGTGCTTCCTGGTTCACATGACATACTTCATTGTCACTGCAACTTTTACAAGGTCGAAGCTAAACTCTTTCATAACTATGTCGACATGCCTCAAATACCCGCAACTACGATCAATTAACACCAATGACATTTGTGATCCATTCAACGGACATACGTAAATTAACCCCAATTCAGCAAAATGAGCAAAAATATGATTAGTCAAATATCCAATTACAGTTACATCTAATTGCATATGGGTCAAAATTATGTTAAATGATCAAAGGTCACAACAAACATACGTCGAATCTCAAGTATCATTGTCATATATTGAATAAATGCAGGTCACATATTTTTATTTTCCAGATTTTTTACGAAAGGTCACAGGTCATTACATATTTGTTACAGGTCATTGCATATTGGTCACATGCCGTTGAAGAGTGGCCACAAGTCTTTGTATATTGGTCATAGTTAATTGTATATAGGTTACAATTCTATTAAATTATCACAGGTCACAACAAACGCATGTCGTATCTTGAATATCATGGTCATATATTGAATGCATGCAAGTCACATGTGCGTATTAAATCACAATTACATGTAATAATTAGTCACGGTAGCTAAGTGTAGATCGCATATGATTAGATTCAAACAAGAGCATTAATATCACATGACATAGATGCAGTATGTCACACGTCACACATTCCAAGACACAAACACCCTTGCGTACTGACTGCATGAGGTCACATCTTATGAATATCATATCACATGTTTTTCATAACAGTCACAACAGTTTCAAACAGCACTATATGATATTCACGATCACAGTTCCGTCAAAAATCACAAGCATGAATAAACGACAAATTATAATGAATCAATCGTAATTACACACTTAACGAATGTAATTATTGACTATTCGAGGGACCTTGTTTTAATCCGAGGTAATGCGACCCAACGACTACAATTTGTGATCAGAATTCGGTTTTACCGTCACTTCTACGAGAGCCGAGGGTAATTTGGATGTATTTTCAGATTTTCTGGCCACTAGAATCAGTTTGAGAGATGATTTCTTCTTTTTTTTGGAGAATCCTGTTGGGTACGGTATTTCACACTAATTGTGCGGGATTGTTTTCCATTTTTAATTAAATTAATATTTGTATTCATTTTTAGGCTAATATCTGATTGGTGAAATATGATACTTATTTTCTTATTTTTGAAATGTCCTATACTTAATCTCTTGTATATGAAATTTTTCTAAAAATTATTATTATTTAAATATTAGCACGGGCCCATTATTCAATTTCACCACGACCACCAACGGCCCAACCCAGCTCTTGCCCAAATCCAGTCCATTAGATTTGATTCTACTCATGTCTCTTCAATAACGGAACGGGAATTGCCTATCTACAAACGAACGGACATTGTGAAGCACGGCCACGGCGACTTTGAATCTTTTCATTCTGCCTCTCATAGTCTCACTCTTGTCACTCTGAGCCCTCGACGAGCCACGTCGGTTCTGCCTTTGGTCTTCCTTCCGTCGACTCCATCAGCGGCCGGTAGCGCAGGCCGCAGTGATTTATTTTTGGAAGAAGAAAGGAGGTGAACTAGAACCACTGAACCGTGAACGAGTGAAGCCCTCTTGTTGAACTTTTTTTTTTTTTTATTTGTTATTTTGATCTGATTTGAGCCTAAAATCAAGATGAGTCAGTTTGTGATTCTTATGAAATTCATTTGTTGATTTGCAGGTAGAAGAACTCAGTCCCAGAAGCTGCTGGAGCGGCTGAACCTCAAGCCTGGAGTTAGTACCTAATTGGATACTGCCCCTGCCCTCAAGGTAAACTTAATTGGATGTTTTGCTAAGGTTAGACACAAGCTGCCGATTTAAAATCATGTATCTGTTATCAGTTTTGTGAACTGCAGTCTACATAAGTTGTCTTCTGTGAACTTAATTGAATGTTGTGCTAAGGTTGAGAGTATTTTGCTTGATTTTACGCATAGGCTGATTTGAGCTTCACTTGCTTTTGCTTCCACTTACTTGTTTTTCTTTCAGTTACTTGATAGTGATGTTATTGTTCAACATTATCAAAGTATGAAAACTTGCGAGGAACAAGTTTAATTATAAACTATGTCATTTTTGGTATTGTCGTAATATTGTTTTATGGTTTTATCATCACTAAATCTATGACCAAAAACTCAACATTTGACATCAATTAAATTGTGCACGCACTGAACGAATTTCTTGTCTTCGCCCTTGAGTTCAGGTATTGATTAATTTGATTTACGCATATTATATAAATATTGCGATACAGTGAAATTTGCAAGTATTGATTTGGAAATTGGATTAGGAAATTGAATTATATTTGATTTTCATGTTTTAGTGCATTTATATAGAAGTTTAAATTTTTTTAATATTATTTAATTAAATATTAATAAACGACTTCATTATGACGGTCGTTGACCGTTGACAATCAATAGTCCGATCAATGGCTGTCCTAGCTAAACTTCAATCTTGGATCCACCACTGCCTGTAGTAAAATATTTTTATCTACTTTTAAAGGAACTATCATGAATGATGTATTTGAATTGCTTGCAAAAGTCATTTGAGCCTTTATATTCACGATAAATTATCATATTCTGACCTGTTTGTTTTAGTTTAAATTTCACCCTAGATGATGGACTTCAATTGATCATAACACAAGTGAACACTATTGGATTAGCCCTAAATTTATCATAACACATCGTCAAGAATATAGTCAAAATGAATTTAAAATGGTTAATGATAAAATGCATTCACATTGCAAAAAGTAAATTGATATAAGCACGTCATTTCGACTCACTTCAAAACTGGATTTTAATGGCATTGGGAAAATTGATCTCGCCACTTGCATCGGTTTTGCTTTTAGAACTTGATAGCAAATTTGCTCTTGAAACAGGTAGGGTTTTAGGGAGGAGGGGGATTTAGGGTGATGGCTGTGGCCGACAGGAATGTAAGAACAATATTTAGATAAAATTTATATTGGTTTATTGCTAATAGTCTAATACTAGTACTCTATTCTTGCCCACTCAGTGTGTCCTATTTCCCTATGGAGTTTTTCAGCATTCTTTATTGATATGGCGAATAGTAAGTACGAGTACGTGAAATCCTTTGAGGTGGAAGATGAAATTATGCTACCCAACATCATTGTTGTCCACATTGATGGCCGGGATTTCGGCAGGTACATTAAATTAAAAAGCATATGCAGGGAATTAGAACACTAAAACATTATTGTACCAATGCATGACCCATTTTTCTTTGTATTTATTAGATTTTCTGAAGTGCATGAGTTTGTGAAGCCTAACGACAAGAGGGCGTTAGAATTGATGAATGACTGTGCCAAAACGGTTTCAGAGCAGTTCCCAGATATTATTTTCTCGTACGGGTTCAGCAATGAGTATAGGTAGAGTAGAGAAACTACATCATTTATTGAATGAGTTGGCATTTCTTTATTTCTTAATATATTGCTCGGTTGATTTATGTATTTTCTACAGTTTCGTGTTCAAGAAGGAAACGAAGTTTTATCAGAGACGTGCAAGGTTCGTGTTTTCATCTTATTGCTGCCTATAATTTCTTTATTTTTATTTTAAATTCTTGTTGTGAGGTTTTTTTGCACCCGAAGTATGGCATATGTTGTGTGATATAACCTTCGAAATGTTTTTACTTCCTATGCTCAGCGGTTTTTAGTGTACAGCACTTGCTTAGAGAACATGTGTGGTTGCTCGAATTTCCAATTGGAATTTGGTGCTCGTGGATGATGCTTATCTAGGAAAAAGAAAATAAAAAATATTAATTATTAGGAATTTCTAGCAACTTGGAACTTTGTAGTTGTGTAATAGTTAAATGAGTATAACTTTGTAGTTGTGTAATAGTTAAATGAGTATATGTTTGAAGAAGTCCCTGTCTAACAGTGGGTGGAGCTACTTGAAGTCTTGAAGCCCAGTGGGGCCCAGTTAGCGACTTGGGAGACATTTACTCTTCACCACCTGTAGCATTAAGTGGGTTATATTTATGGTCTAAGAGCTCAAGGTTGTGATTTGGAAAGGTTGTAGTAGACCTAATAAAGTGGGAAAACTAGGGTCTATTGTGCAAGAAGTCAAACAATAGTTTTGTAAAGTTAAAAGACTAGACTCTAATCGAACATCTTGGTGAAAGTGAATTAGTTTGGATCTCTCTTTCTATCAAAAAGAAAATTTTCCCATTCTAATAGATGCTCTGGATAAGGATCCTCACCAGCCACCTAAATGATGGTTAATGAAATAGAGAGTAATTATTAGATCTAAAAAGATCCTCTTTTTAGTTAGTAGAAATATGAATTGAAATTCTTTTGCGACAACCAAAGAATTAAATTTCATGCATGGTCAAGCATAACTAGCTTGATGATTATCTACTGCATATCTTTTTTTTTCAGCCTATGTTTGCATTCAGAAGTCTTTACTTCAATCGACAGCTTAATTGTTGGTACCCGTGAATAGAAAATTTCAAGAATGACCCATGAGAATTATTAGCATTGTCTAAACATTTTTATGTAGCATTTACTTATACTGTAGATGTCTTCTCCACGTGCTGTAAATGTACATGTGGTGCATTGGGAACTCATTAGATTTTTAAATCCAACCGATCAGTTAAAAGATTAGTGTAGTCTTTTAGATGTGCCAATAACTTCCCTAAATATGATATCTCAATACCAAAATTTTCAGTTCTAGTTCCACAATAAATTTATTAGGAGTATGATATCAGTCATTTCTGTTTTAAAATGAGCTTGGCTGACAACAGAAATGGCTATGCAGCAAAGTACTCTCGCTCATCATCTCTTACTTCTCATCCTTATATGTCACCAAATGGAAGGAATTCTTTCCTCAGACAGGGATGAGATTTCCCCCTTCATTCCAATCACAAGTTATTAGCTGTGCATCAATGGAGGTTCTTCAAGCATATCTTGCATGGAGACAGCGCGAATGTAAGTTTATAATTTGTGTCTGACTTAGTTGTATAAATCATTAAATCTGCATTTGAATAATGATTAAATTTTTTAAGTGTAGAATATATATTAGTAATATAGGGAAGTCCCATTTGAATTGGCTAAACCCATCATTCTTTTGGCAGGTCATTTAAGCAACCAGTACAATACTTGTCTATGGGAGCTGATTAGAAATGGAAAATCTGAAAAGGAAGCTCAAGAAATACTGAAGGTGAAATACATGGAAATAAATTTGTATGGTTTTCCACATTAATGAAATAGTTGCATGATTTACTTTCAGTTTCAGAGGAAATGCGGTTTTAGTAAAAATAAAAATAAATAAATAAATAATTATTTGCTTCTGTGATCTCCACAAATGTTTGACCTTCTTTGAGTGGCTTCTTTCTACAAAAGAAGCCAGTTAAAGAAGCAAGGCCAAACATGCTCTGTTGCATGATATACTCTCGAAGGAAATACAGTTGTAATGAAAAATAAGATATACTTGCTTCTATGTCTCCATACATGCATAAAGTTATATTTTACAGTCCGAGGCTTGCCATTTGATGAATTGCTCAATTTTGTCATGTCATAAAAACAGTTCTTGTTTATGGATATGCTGAACAATCATGTAAGGACATCAATATGAATCTCTCATTTTGCTGGAGGTGGACCGTACCATAAAAGAGAAAAATGGATTAGTTATTACTGCAATATTGACAACGAATAACAAGAAAAACCTAAGTTTCTGATATACTTGTGGTGGATGATTATGAGATTTGTGGTTTAGCTTGGAATGCATCAAATGAAATTGTCGTGTGGGCACTTGACTGTCAAAGACTCAAAGTTTGTTCACATGGAAGTTTCAAATCATCTAGTAGATAGTCTTAGCTCCCAGTAAACAAATTCAGTCTGGACTAAGCATGATCTTCTGCTTGTCTCTCTCTGTGTTTACATTTCCTCCGTACTTGTGGTCATTGTGTGTTTCATCCAAATTACTCATGCTCACTGGTTGAAAAGACTTGTGCTCACTTTTATTTGAACCTTTTATAGGGAACACATAAGCAGGACAAAAATGAGTTGCTTTATCAGGGGTTCAATATTAACTATAAAGAACAAGAAATCATCTTTCGTCAAGGAACATGTATTCTCAAGACAGAGGTAGCTTCTCTTGGCCTCTTTCTCCAAGAAAATCGGTTTGTTTTATTATTTCAATAGTTTAAATTGTATAATGTTTAATGGTGTCTTACATATAATTATTTTTTCAATTTTTGTTGACTTTAATGTGACGCTCATGGTAGAAATTGTTGTCTTAGAGTAGAATTTTTTGGAGCTGTTTTACTTCATTTGCAAATTGAATGATATCCCAAAAATATTTTCTTATGCTTATTTCTACCATGCCTTAAGTCGTAGGTTGAATAACAATATTCTCAATTGCAACAAACAAATAAATTATAATGATTCTTCTTTAAAAAAAAAAAAAAGAAAAAAGAAAAAGAACTACCTTCTAACTTCCGCCCCTTCCCCTTCCCCTACCCCATGATATATAGACACTCCTACTAGGACGGCATGTCCGTTGGACACGTGTCGAGATGTGTCAGACGCCGACACTTGAAGACATGTATCCAACAAGCCACTTGCCCGTGTCCCGCTTTTTATTTGTCTTTTTAATTATTGACACTCTAGGAACCTTTAGAAACACTCCTCGGAAAAGTGTCCTGATGCCATGTGCAACTTAGGGGGTTGGAGAAATGTGGGAAAGGATGGAGTAATTGGACTGGTTGGGAGAGCGGGGGGAGGGGTAGTGCCAGTTGGGGTAGGGAGGGGAAACCATCTATAATCAATGTGATTTTGTGTGCATATGATTTATGAATGTACTCTGCATAAAACCAGACTTGTCCATCTTCTGTCTATTTTGACCTAGGTTCAACATATTGTGAAGTACAACCAAGATGGTTCTCCTGTTCAAAGACTGAGGATGAAAGCCATAAAAGTTCATTCAAAAAACATAGCATCAAGGAGCTTCTGGAATGACTACTTGTGTCTTTGTAGAGAGCTTGGACAATTTGCAGAGGATGTTAACAAAATTAAACCTGACTATGTCAAATCTTTCCTACATGTAAGCAAGTTGATGCCATCAACTTGGATTGTTATTCGCGTTGATGGTTGCCATTTTCATAGGTAAGTCACCTTAAGCGTTGCTTAACCTTAATTGCATAAAGTCATTAATGTTAAACTATTCTCGTGCTATTACATTTGACTGAAAAGGGTGGTTTGCATTGGTGATGTGTGGCCTTTTGTTGCTAATTATGTTTTCTCATGTTATGAGTGTGACTTAGCATTCTTTTCTTTTGGCTTTATAACAGGTTTTCTGATGTCCATGAATTTGAGAAGCCAAATGATGCACAGGCTCTGAACTTAATGAATTCATGTGCTGTAGGTGTGCTAGAAGAGTTTGAGGATATAGTCTTCTCTTATGGGGTTAGTGATGAATACAGGTAGTAAAATTGTACTACATTTTACAGCTTCTCTCTGCTTAAATAACGATTCCTCGCTTCTCACATTTGACAAATTTAGTTAGTAACTTTCAGTTTTGTTTTGAAGAAAGAGTCTCAGCTATATCAAAGGCGCTCCAGGTATACCTTCCCTCCATGTCTTACAGGTCCTAGAAATTAAAGGAAGGTTACTTATATATTGTATGCACTATTTCAATCAAACTAAATCACTTCTTTCTATCTAATTTACAAATTTGCAGTGAAATAGTATCTGCCATTGTCTCGCTATTCTCTTCCATGTACACCATTAAATGGAAAGAGTTTTTCCCACAGAAAGAGTTGAAACATGTACCATACTTTGACGGGCGGGCTGTTTGCTACCCAACCTCTGAGATTCTACTAGATTATCTAGCATGGAGACAAGTTGATTGTAAGTTGCTTTCTTCTCATTTGATTTATAAATCATCTTCCGGCAGCAAAGGGGCATTTGCATGAAAAAATTGAAAATGTATGTCATAGTTTAAAAGGTTTACTTATAAGTCCACAAGTAATTTTTTATTGGTTAAAGTTAGAAATAAGTTAAGGTATGAGTTTCTACCAAAGTAATTACTTTTTTATTTTTACTCAAAAGTAGAAACAATGGTAAGTTACGGAAAGATGTCTAGAAACAAAAATTTTAAATACTAAATTTTACATTTTTTAATCTTAGCCAAACATGCTCTTACTCTTGTCTTGTAAGCTATAATTTTGGTCCTCCATTATCTTACAAATAGAGGGTAATATTACTGCTTTGTGATTTTCAGGCCACATTAACAATCAGTACAACACTTGTTTTTGGATGCTTGTAAAGTCCGGAAAGAGCAAAAGTGAAGCTCAGAACTACTTGAAGGTGCTAAATCACTTCATATGCCGAGTTACTAGATTCTTAGTATAGTTTAATAGCTTCACTTGTTAGGGAACATGTTTTATGAGAAAACTCGTGATCAAACTTTAATTTTAACCTCATATTTCATGGGATCCACAACTTTTATCAAAAGTTTTGTCAAACAACCGCTTAGTTTATTGTAAAAGTTATAAACGAGTCTTGATATGGGGGGCAAGGGATTTCTTTCATAAAAGGTAGCTTTTTTTCTAGAATAGTAAGTCATGCATACATGTCCAAAGACAAACAAATACGTAAAAAGTAATTTTACATTCTTTATGCTTAGCAATCCCGCTGAAGGCCTAGATGTAATGATTCCATCAATGTAATTTCTCAAGATTGTAAGAGAATTAATTTTTACAAAAGGAATTCTTGATCTCAGAGCATTTGTTATCTTCTGTTCTGCAGGGTACTCAATCTCAAGAGAAAAATGAACTTCTTATGCGGCTATCTGGCATTATTGATTATTACAACACATTACCGCTCATGTTCCGCCAAGGATCCTCTGTTTTCTGGCACACGGTTAATCTATCTCTTGCATTGTAGATAGATATTTTAATAAGAAGACAATGCTAAGAAACAGAGGAGCTTAATTTTTTATTTTTCTTTTACTATTCCAGAAATTTGCATTCTGCCTCTTTTCTGGCTGAAATGTTGGATGTTATACATGCAGCATGATGACAAGAAAATGTCGAACCAAGGTAACGAGGCTGTTGGAAAATGCTGCAAAGTAGTAGTTGAACACTGTAATATAATTGAAAAGAGTTTCTGGGAAGCACACCCAGACATACTTGGCGAGAAGCTCAGTTGCTGTAAACCACTTGGTTGCACTTTTGCTTCGGACTCGCATCATTTAACAAGACGTGTAACTTGTTGCGATTGCAAAGTCGCCAAATTTGCCCGATCTGATAATCTCTCTCCCCTGGAGCAACCTTCCACCAATTGTCTCTAAGATACTGTAAGTATGTTTCGTAAATAGTATTAGATTCGACACTATTATAGACAAGAGTTCAATCTCTTTTTTCTTTAATACTGTGCAGTACCATGCAGTCTACCCTATTAATCAAGTCATGTTTACGTTAATAGTCAATAACTAAGCATGAGATATATCTTGAAGTTGGATCAGGCATGTATCGAGGAGACCAGTTGAAGACACTGTGACGACCAAGCAACCTTACTGATAAAGTACAGAAAAGCCTCGCAGAACTAATTAGCTATCAGTTATTGTGTGCTTTACTTGCATAAAACTAGTTATTTATCCCAATTTTATACAAGAAATATCCTTCTGTTATCAGAATTTCCTTACATTCTGTGGGATAATGACTATTGAAATGTATCCCTGATCCTAGTAAAATGCTAGGTCGTTTCTCTCAAACTTCCTGGTGTATTTTGGCTACTGACCAGCGCAAGTAAATGAACAAATTGGCTGTCTTCTTCCGGAAAAAGAAAAAAAAAATAAAAATAAAAATTGTACCCATGTATTCCAGTCTCATTATGAGATCACAAGATTTAAAAGACATGTATGATTCTATCTTGTAGGTTAAGCTTGAATGAGATTGTTAATAATCTACGTGATTTTTCTAGTATCAGAGAAAATTTTGAATTAAATTCTTTGTATTGAGTTGGAAAAACCGATCATAAGCATTAACATGATTTTAATGTTATAAGGCTTTTAACTATCTTGCACTAGTGGTTTAATGGTAGGAGAGTATTCTGACAACAGAATATCATGTTTTTTATGCTATAATTCCTCGACATATTTGTAGAAGACAAAATCCAAATAGTACCTTATCAAAATAATTCCTCATCCATTGGAATTGTGAAGAAATTAACAGATTTCGATTTTTTAAACCATGATTTGTTGGATTAAAATTCATAAATGAGATTCTTGGAAGTTGGGATTATAAACTGAGAAAAACCCATAAAAATATAAAATTTACTGATTAAACTTTACTGGAAGAATGTTACAAGAAAAACGAACACCGAATGTTGGACTTTGGAGCTAAATGATTGTAAGGAGGTTGAACTAAACTTCATTTCTTGTATTAGGATTCATAAAATGAGAAATCTTGGGCTTAAGAACTAAGGATAAAAAAATAAAAATCCCACAAATACAGGTTTGAAATCTTGTGATTGTCATTTGATATAAAAAAAATTAAAAAATAAAAAAATTAAACCCATAAAATTAAATATTTCAATAATCAAGATTTATTGGAAGAATTAATGTACCAAGAAGCTGAGGGGAAAAAAAAACTCAATTCTAGAGAAAAGGAGTTAAAGGTCTGTTTGGTTTGTATCTCAATTAAGAGTTTTGAGTTCATTTTCAGTTTTCTATTTTGAGAGCCAATTTTAAAATTGTTAAAAATGTGTTTGGTTGTCATTCTGAAAGTTGTTTCTCAAAAACGTGTTTGGAATAAAATTGTTATAAAAGCATTTGGTTGTTAGTTTGGAAGTTTGAAAATTTGCTTTATAGCAGTTTATTTCAAGAAATTTGATTATTCAATAAAACAGAACAACGTTATGTTAATATATTATTAAGTAATAATAGATTTTAAGTGTGTGTGTGTGTGTGTATTAAATTTAAAATTTTGATTTAAATTTTTGTTTCCCATGTTTTTAGCACTTTTAGAATTTTCATTGAAAACACTCAAAATTTCAAAAATACATTTTGAGTTTTATGTTATAAATTTTGTTTTGTTTTTGAAAATGCATTTTTAGAAATATCAGGCAACACGTTTTTAGTGTTTTGCAAAATTGAAAATTGAAAACTACAAACTAAATGCATCATAAGGATTTAACGAATATGCAGTTGTCGGGCTCATGTATATTGAATAGAATAATTCTATGTAGCATCATTATTATTAAAAAAACATCTTATGGCATAAAATAATGAATAATGCTATTTGTAGTTGCTCACTATTGCAGTTGCCCTACATGACATATATGTGGCAGTTAGTGATTTGATGCATAAGGCAATAAAAAATTACAACATTAATGTATCAAATCATTAACCGTTACATGTATATTATGTAGGACAACTGTGATAGTAAGAGACTACAAATAGTATTACTCATGATAAGTCTAATTAAATTTGATGTTGCGAGACTCATTTAATTCGACATTCTCACAAATTATTTATATTATATTAAATATTATAGCAATTGAAATCTAAATATATATATTAATTAGAAAATAAGGAAAAACAATAAATGAATGTTGAAAACAATAAAATAATTCTTATCACGCCGTGTATATTTATTTGATAGAAAAATATTTATGACATCAATAATTGATGGAGGTCAAGTGATCTGTAACCAGCAATTTCTATTTACAATTTCTAATTGTGACCGAAGAGTAACTCTATGGCATGAAGAATCCCAATATTTTCAATTTTTTATTTACACAGCTTATATCACAATTTATTCATTGATCACAAAATTACAAAATTTATAAATCACAATTTATTTAATAATATGAAATTATCAAATTAATTGATCATGAGTAATTTCTCAATCACAACTCAATAAATTGATAGTTACAATAACATTTTTTAAATCACATATTATTTATTGGTTACAAATTAATCAATTTATTAATCACAATCAACCAAATATTTGGTCACAAACACCCCATCCCAACCTATGCCACCCATGACCACCACATCACTGCTATGAGCACCACCACCACCGTCACCACTATCTCCACCACCTCATTAGACCGCACAAAACCACCACAACGGCAACAACCACACACCATAGCAACACAAAACCACCACTATAGCAACCACAACACCATTGCAATCGCAAAACCACCACCACAACACCAACAACTCCACCACATACAAAACTCCGGCACCGTCATCGCTATTAGATTGCGGCATCACCAAACAATTGGCAGTAGACTGCGGGAACAATGTACATCACCACTACTACACTATAACTACCACAATCTCTTCTCTTCTCTTCTCCTACCCCAATCTGCAAATCGACCACCATTAACAATCCAACGGTCAAAAAAATCAACCAAACACAACTTATGATGCGGTGCTCACTAGCTGCATTGTTCTGGTGCTTTACCACCTCAAGCTGTGGTGCTGCAAGTGGTACTTACAAGTCGATTCGAACAATGTTGCACTGTCGAGCGCTGTGACAAACTGTCGGAATGAAGCTTTCTGCAATTGTGAGAAATGAGAAGGGTATGTTGGCACCAATCGCTTCTCTTAGAAAAACTTCGCATCGACTATTCCATCGGACATACGACAAAGAGAAGGAAGACGGCGAATGGAGTGGAAAGAGTAGGGAGAGAGAGAGAGATTTGGGTTTTGAAATTAGGGATGGGATGGGGTGGATGGGTGTGGGGGCGAGGTTGAATTATAGATTAATTATAATATTAATTAATCCATTAAATTGTGAGCTCTAAATACCTGTTGGGGTGTAATTTCCACAAGGAATAATTGCGTTTAGCCCAACCCAACCAAAAACCATTAGCCCAACGGTCCAATGAAAATGAAAATGTTCAAGACCCCAAACTAAGGAATATGTTATTTGTACATTCAAAGTGCACATAAATGTTGACATTGTGAGAGGTATAAAAATTTGTGTGATTGATGGTTTTAAGTGTTGAAATCAACGACAAAAATGTCTGCCACCACATGCACAGTAAAAAATTGTCAAAGTGATCTAACTGTAGCAGGACTACAAAATTAAACCCAAATCTAGTCATTCCCTTAATTTGAAGACAAATTCTGCTCGTGTGCTACTGTGCCCAAATCTTACTCTCTGATTTCTGCCCCTCTTTGACTATTCTCTTCATAGTGAGCACTCCCATTCACATGATCACCACGATGACAATGCTCATGGTCACATGCATGTTGGAGATTAGTTTTTACATAACTTGAAGGAGCTTTTTGTTGGATAGTCAGTATTGGGTAAGTAGAAATTTGTGAATACGTGCTTTCCCTATTTCTGACCTCCCCACTGCCCTTCAAAAAATAAAATTCTTTTAGCATCTATAGAAGAGTTCAAAAATGTAAGATTACTGCATACTTTTGGAACTTTATTTATCCTTTCGCAAATTCATAATTATCTGACGTAGGGGAAGATTATAGGGAAGATGAACAATTACAAAATGAGAGAACTCTCAAGAAAATTTTTATTGAATCCAAGAACTGCTGTCTCAAAGGGTTTACAACGCCTTAAATAGAAAAAAACCTAGCAAAATTCAGAAAATAGAATAAAAAGAATATTTTTCCAAAAGTAGAAAAATATGAGATAACTACTAAGATGGAAAATCCTTATTTTTAGGATCATCCTCCAACGAACGGAATACAAATCCGAATTTTATGGAAAGAGATATTGCAAAAACAAAAATTACCATAAATTTTGCCCAAAATTGGTCTTGCATCAGGCCAAAGGCCCTGAGTTTTATTCATTGGCTCGATTCTAATCGAATTAGATTACAATTCGCCAAAAACGAACAAATCCGAAATTATCATGAAATTAAAACTATTATTTTGCCTTGCGACGGTCCCATTTCATCATAAACTCTAATCCCTTTTGCACTTCATCATTATCGCAAAAAAATAATTACGAAATACATTTAGAAAGTTGCATAATTATGGTCCTCATGCTGAGAAACATAGTCAATGAAATAAAAGTGAAAGCAAATTCTCTGTTCCCCTGTGCTGACGAAGGAAGTCAAATGTCAGAACTCGATTTTCAAATTATTACTTTCGTTGGCCTATGGATTCCTGCTCATTTTAGTGATGTCTGTTTTGATTGTTTTCTATCCTAAGCCTCACTAATATTATTCAATATCTTATTTAATATCTCATTCCTCTT